GATTCCTCCATTTGTCTTTGTTGGATGATTGTTTTGTTCCTTAGTTTCTCTTTCCTTTCTGCCCTCTGGCCTAAATGGCCAGGGGTTCTGGTGACTAGCATGTCTTCTGGTCCAGTAAGGTGTCCCCTCTGGTAAAGCTGAAGTCTTCTCCAGAAGTTGTATACCAAGATATGGAGCTTAAGGGATGGGGTGCAGTCTGGGGTCCCTAGATCTGGTCTAGCCTCTGGGGTCCCTAGGACCAGCTCAACCTCCAGTGCAGCTGCTAGGGCTGGGATCCCTCCAGCTGCCTTGTGCTCAAGTAAAGCTGAAGTCTTCTTCTGAAGTTGTAGACCTGGATATGGAGCTGGGACTGGTGTGTGTGTGTGTGTGTGTGTGTGTGCGTGCGTGCGTGCGTGCGTGTGTGTGTGTGTGTGTGTGTGTGTGTGTGCAGTCTGAGGTTGTTAGTCAGGCTTAAATTTTGTGGGCAGTGGTTGGTATCTTACCTAGGATTTCTAGGACCAGCTTGGCCTTCTGTAAAGCCACATGTACTCTTCAAAATTACAAAGAAATAGCATGTATATCTAATTTCAAGTTCTGATATAATTTATCTGGAGATTGAACTCAGTTAGTGAGGCTTGGTGGAACATGGCTTTACCTCCTGGGCCATCTTACTTGTCTAACACATGGAATTTAATTTACTTCATTTACCCATTTCATATAAATATGTAATTATTATGTACTTGAAATTACTAAGTGAATAATTTTTAGTGTTTTGCCAATAAAGAAATGTAAGAATGTATATTAATACATATGATCAATATCTTGATTTGTCATTTTTGCTGTCCTGAGGATCAAACTTAGAACCTCATACATTAGGCAGATATTCTACCATTGAGCCATACCCCCAACTCTTTTTTTTTTTCTTTTTTTTTTATGCATATAGAGTATTTTTTATTTAATTTTATATAACAAAGTCCAATTAAATGTAAACTATCAGTTATACACAATATTTGGGAATTTGGGCGCCGCCCTTCCCAAACAACCCCCTGCTGGTGGGGGGGGGGGTTGGGGGGGGGGATGGGAAAATATCCACCCTGCCCTGCTGTGGTGGGTGGTTTTTTTTTCTCTGTGTTTTGGGTATGTGGTGCTTTCTCTTTTTTGCTGTTTGGGGTGTGCTGTTATCCCACAACCATTTAAACAACCTCTCTTTTTTTTCTTTAAAAAAAAAAAAAACTTCCCCCTACCTTTCTTTACTAAATTTTGAAATTTTTTTTTTTTTTTTTTTTTTTCCCCCCCCCCCCCCCCCCCCCCCCCCCCCCCCCCCCCCCCCCCCCCCCCCCCCCCCCCCCCCCCCCCCCCCCCCCCCCCCCCCCCACCCCCCCCCCCCCCCCCCCCCCCCCCCCCCCCACACCCACACCCACCCCACATTTTTTTTTTTTTTTTTAAATATCATAAATATGCATAATTTTATTACTCAATTAAAATATAAGTAATAAAAAGGGAACATTCCTATTGTAAAACGCTTTTAGACAGAACACAGCACCAATGTATGGGCTTGTCTACTTCTCTGTAGAACTTTTCTAATTTAACAGAAGATTTATTAATAGAGCCTAGTGTGGAGACATATAATATATACCAGCCCTTGGGAGACTGAGGAAGGTAGATCACAAGTTTGATGCAGCTCAAGTTATGTAGACTGCTCTAGGCCATCCTGGGCTACACTGTCATGAAATGGAAAAAAACAGTTTACTGGGAAAGCAGATATCAGAGATGGATCAGCAGAGTAGAGTATACTTGTTCATGGTTGTAATCCTAGCACCTTTGGGGCTAAGGCTTGGAAATTGTCATGAGTTCAAGGCAAGTCTGGGCAACCAAGGGAAACCCTGTCTCAGAACACAGGGGTGTGTATTTGGCATCAGTAGAACACATTGTATGCCAATAATTCAATTAAAGAGATGACTTTGTGATGAGAAATTTGAGTATTGGTATTTGGTTACACAAAGGAGTTATCATTGTTTTAAGAGTAACAGTTTTGTACTAGTTTAAAAAAATTTAGTCCTTCCCGACCAAGTGAGAGCACCAGGACCCCAGTCATAAAGCTGGGGAACTAGAATTGGACAAAACCAATGAATCTGGGTGCCAGTTAGGAGACCTGGGCAGGCTATGGGGCCTCTGATGATAGAACCAGTATTTCTCCCTAGTGCACAAATGGCTCTTGCAAATGATGTGACAGACTTTGATGACTCTCCATGGAAGGCCTCACCATCCCTGGGGAGTGGGTGGGTGGTGGGATGGGGGAGTGGGGGGCATGGGAGGACTGGAGGGAGAAGGAACTGGGATTGATATGTAAAATAAGATTGTTTCTAAATTAAATAAATAAAAATTTAAAAATGTAGTGTTTATATTTAGAAATGCAGGAGTATTTACTGGAGGCAGTGAAGAATCTGGGGTTGGTTGTAAAATGGTCCATTGGGGTGCAATGAGTAATGAGAATATAGGGTAAGTAAGATGACTTGTGCTTCATTCAGCGCTTCTTACAACTGGATGATGGCTGTGTTGGGGATTACTGTACTATGTTTTTCTGATGTTTGATAGTTTCCGTAATAAAGTTAAAAGGTCCAAAACATATAAACTTTGACCCTCCATTTCTTACACTAATAGTTTTTCAATTCTACTCATTATAGTCTTAGTTCTGGCATTTGGAGGAGGCAAGGGAAATTAGAAAATTTTCATTACTCTGTTTAGACGCAGGATGGCACTCTTTGAATAAGTAATTAGCGGAGGTCCAGTTCTCACTGAAAAAGCTGCTTTCCAGTACAGCTACTTCCTAGGGCAGCCTAATTTAACAGAGCAAACGCTTTTCAGGTAGGCGACATGGGCCACACCTATGTCTATCTATACCTTGACTAGTTTTCTGTGTTGCTGTATCTATCTTATACCAGGTTTGTAATATTGAGGAAAATTGAAGCTCATATATTAGCAGGTGATTTTTATGTAAGGGCAGCTAACTAGCTCTGTGCCACTTTTATTTTTTGGTGTTTGCTAGTATTGCTGTGAGGTCTAGCAACCTCAATGTATTTTACACACACACAGCTCAATGAATCATATTTATTTCAAACTGTCAGTACCAACCACATAACGTGTTTCTATGTTTACTATGCACTGAGTTAGCTAGTGAGGAGGATTAAGGTCAAAATGAGAGCTATCAACTGGACAAATACTATTGCCTTCCAGCCCTTGAGGAAGTGTTGAAGTAAATGTATTGCTCCACATTCCCAGTCTGACCTATGCCTTCTTCGAGCCAAGGGTTTCTAGAATAATTACACCTACCACCTCCGGTGTAGGAAAAAAAAAAATCAGATGGACAGCAACGTTAGCAGAAGCTAGAAATTTAAGAATTGGCATTTAGAAAGTGCCTCTTCCTTATTCTCCTCCCTTAGGTCCAATTCCGTTTTCTGGTTCTGGCCATAGGAAATTGACTTAGTGTTAATTAAAGACTGGAATTTCAAAGCTTAATTTCCCCTCCCCCAACCTTGGCAACCATTAAACCCCTGACTCCACACTCCACGGGACAGACAGATAAATGATGCAGCAGATTATACCGCTGAAAGGCAACGTTTGTCCTCAGCTATTTTCGATTTTTTTTCTGCTTCTGATATTTTGCTTGCTTAGGGCCGGGAAAGGGCTTTTTTATTTTCATTTTTTCCTCTACAGTTTAATGCCAGGGGCTTTCTCCCAGTGAAAGGGCTGCATCGATGTGGTGTTTTACCCCTAAAGGCTGGACTGGCAGCTGGTGTGGAGGGGGAGGTGGATTGGAAAGCTAGAAGAACCAGTTCTAAGGTTTTGTTTGTTTATCTTGAGATCTCAGCGGGGTTCCTGTGTCGTAGTCCCCCTCCCCCTTACCGGTTTAGGGGGCTGAATTTGGATTTATTTTCCTTTGAGCAGTCATTGAAGTTTCATTCAATGTACTGCTAAAAAAAAATACATCTCACTTGTTGCTTTCCCGGCTGCAGTTTAAAACACCATCCAGTCTCTCATCTGGAAATAATGCACACCCCCCCCCACCCTTTCCTTTTAAAGCTCCACATAACCTGAAGTCGATAATCACATGGAAAATGTGCAGGGCTCGGTTTTGTTTAGCTTTCATTCTTTTGGTGGAAACCTCATTTGTTAAAGTATGTACTCAATACACAGACAAATGTACACATGTTGCTTTCAAGTCTTGAAATTTGCGTGCTCCACAGATCTGACTCCTCACACGAATCTTACGGATACCGCTTAAACGCTTTTATTGTACAGATTAAGGAAAACAGAAAATGACACCGAAAATTCTAACAGTGACATTAGTATATCTAAAGTCACCCACTCTCTTTACCCCTCTTTCCCTTTCCCAAGAAACAGTAATAACAAGCCAGACAAGACTCTCAAAGAGGTTAAGGGGGAGGAAGGAGGCGGAGTGGGTTAGGGGAGAGAGGTTAGAGGGCCAGAGTTTCTCTCATTCACAGGGCGGAAAAGTTGACATTGTCTAAGCCCTTCTGAATGGCTGGTAGTCGGATACCCCGATTGTACCTCTACTTCCCCTCCCCCTCCACGTGACGACCCAGGACACATGCGCACCCGACGCAGCCCAGGCACATCTGCAGACTGACGTCAGTTTGTTCTGCCTCTGAGGAAAGCTGCCAAAATTTTCTTCTGCTGCAATTGAAGTTGGCCGGGGGCCGGCAGTGAGCTCGAGGGCTACTTCAACAAAACTTTTCCTGCCCTTCCTGCTCCTCTTGTCTTCTCTCTCTCCTGATACCTTTTGATGCTCTGCACATGTTATTTGCATAGCAAAGGCACTAAGCTGTCCAGGAAGAGAGGGCACCACTTCCACCCCCAATAAGCCTTTCCCCTCTTCTTTTCTTTCTTTTTTCCCTTTCCTTTTTTTTGGGGGGGGTGGGTGGGCGGGGGGAGGGAGAGAGTGGAGGGGTTTGCAAAGCACGTCTCAGGTTGATAGCCTTGATATATTAAAAGCATTTTTTTTCTTTTCTTTTCTTTCTTTTTTTTTTTTTAACTGCCAAATCGGCAGTCTGTTCCCTAAAGCTCCGGTTAGCCAGACTATAGGGTTTTATTCTGGCTGCAGAATAACTGGCTGGTGTGTTTTTGCAAAGGGGGGCAAAAAGAAAAGAGAGAAAGGAGGGAGTACGCGAGTCGTCCAGTGCAATCTCTATTGTTTGAAATTTACTTTTTATCAGAATTTGAAGATGAAAACGGTAAGGAAGACTTCATAATATTCAATGAAACCTTAAAAAAAAAAAAGGCTGTGTTTTGCTTGTCTTACGAATAACGCTTAGATCTCAGTCTCTCTGTCTCTGTCTCTCTCTCTCTCGTGTGTGTGTGTGTGTGTGTGTGTGTGTGTGCGCGCGCGCGTGTGTATTTGTGTGTGTGCGCGCGTGCGCGTGCTTTATGGCAAAGAGTGAGTGTGACTAAATTCATTTTACAGACAAATCTTTCAAACTCTAGACTACTCGCGGATGTAGAATTCCGGGACTTACAGGTATTTTATGATGTGAAAAATACGCACTCATTGTATGAATTTACATGTTGTGTGAGGTAGACTTGATTATGATCATCGTGTTCTTTTAACTCATCACCGTATAGCGCTGGAGAATGTAAGGATGATGTGTGTTCTTAATCGATTTCCAGATTTATGCTATTGCCTTCTGCAAATCCGTTTCATGTCAGTGTCTTTAGTATTCAGACAAGTGCATATTTCATGCCTGTGCTCTCAGGCCGGCAGAAGTGTGCTGGTGTAGTGCTGATGCTCTAGAATATGGTAAGCTCATAATAGGCTAATCAGAGATGAAAGCGTGTGGTTTTGATTTACTTTTGCCCACTTGGGCCATGCTAGACTCAACCCTCTGGAGCCTTGTTTATCAGGGTATGTCTGAATACATGGTATATGAGACTAAAGTTTACGGATTGAGGAGCGAGAACAAGAGTCCTGGAGGAAGTATTGGAAAATCTGTCTGATAATATGTGCTATAATTTCTGTCTTTGGTAAGTTTTCCACTTGTGCTAGGAGCAGAGAAAGCAAGCCAGAGTAAGAAAGCACACTGAGAGGGAACAAGAGAGTAAGTTTCTTACTCTTGTTTTTATTTGAGCTGCTGGTGCAACGCGTTTGGGCCAAATGCCAACTGTCTGGGTCACACGCGTTTTATCCAAATAGATTTAGCGCTGCTGTCTGGAAATGGGCTGCTGAATGTTAACTTTAGGATCAACTCAACCAGGGCAGCTCAGACTGTTACCCTCTGTCTGGATGAAGTGGAATGGGAAGGGGGGTGGTGGTGAGGGTGTGCAAAGCTGGGGGCTAAGGAGGGGGGAGGGGGAAGACGACGACAAACTATTGCTTGGAAGTTAAAAAAAAATACACGAATATAAGTTTCAATTTACTCTGTTATGTTTAAAGTTTTTTAAAACTATTTTTCCTCTTTTCTTTCTTCATGTTCTTTTCTTAAGCTTCTATTGATTAGACTGAAACATTTAGTGGTGAATTGGCAGCCCTTTAAATTCGTGACAGGAAAAGAAAGGAAAGCAATGAAAAACTGGTGCATTTGAAGGCAACTAAGAAAATTAATTTTGAAGAAAATTATTTTCACCAAAGTGATAATGCAGTCTTGTTTATATTAATTGGTGCTTAAACATGAGCACTAGTGATCTTTTTGGAAGAATGCTATATTAAAATGTGTAAGTTGCTTTCAAACAAATCAGCAAATCATTCACTTGCCACAAATGGCAGCAGATTATTCTATGTAGTTGTATGAATATTTTTGTGATTCCCCAGAGGAAAATCTTCTAGTCTTTAAGACTTGAAATGTTGTAAATAATTTTTAGTTTGGTCTAAAACCTGCAAATTAATCTCTATTCTTGTCTGTTGTTACTACTTCCTCTTCGTTTCTTTAGCAACCAAAAGTAGCTATTAGTGGCTTAGGGTGGGGCTGTGTGCCAAATCTTTCTGTTTGTGATCTTAGTGACAGATGAATTGAGTTATCATATTAAGGAAAGTTAGTAGCATATTTGGAATCTGTGGGAAGGGAGAGAAAAAAGATGTAGATAATTTGTCACGGTTAAAACAACAAAAACAAAGCAAAGTTGGTTATCTAAAATTTTATGCTAATATTAAGAAAGAAAAATCATCTTTTTAAAAGGAAAAGTGTTATAATACAGGTAGCATTGGGAGAATTATGTAACTTGGGGCTTTATTTTTGGGAAATTTCATTTTGAATTTTTGGTTTTCTCAATAGGTAAGTTTTGACTAAATTATGTATTTGATTATACTTTTTTTGGTGACTAATCTTACAAAGTTTGTAATCTCTTGTCCTTAGAACCTAATTGTGTCTTTAGCATACAGTAGTTAACAAATATTTGTTGAGAGAAAAGACTGGAAAATGAAAGGAAAAGTTTTTCATGTATAAATAAAGGATCTGAACGGTTTAGGATTTTGTTGCTTTTTCCATGGAGACCAAATCAGCTTGAAAATAAATAACCAGGTTAACATGGATGAAAAAAAGCTGAGAAGGATGTGAACCATGTTCTCTACCTTCATAATGACAGCTAATGAGAGGAAATTATTACTTTAGCTACTTCTACATCACTTGAGTGGGAAGTCAAACCATAAAGAAAAATCAAGTAACAGGCGTCAGCTAGGGCAGACTACTAGGGAATGAATCACTATAGTGCAAGTTGTCTGGTCTTATTTCTTTTACATAGCTAGTGTAGCTTTGATCCATGGAAACAGTTACATTACTCTTTAACTTTACCAGCTGGTGCATTTATACTATGAATAAAAATCATATACAAAAGTTAAAGTGAACTGGACAATTTGCTTGCATTTTTAAAATTAAAACTTATAAGTATAATTATCATAGTCCAAGTTCTTCAACTCTGCTTTTAAAGAGAAGACAGCTTCCATATTGGCCCTATGATGTCCTACTACTCCACATTTTCTTTTTTTAGGGAAGGAGGAATATGAAACTATTTTTGAAGGAAAAGCTTTGAAAAGTGATGTGTAGTAAGAAGGGAGGGATCTCTTTTATTTAGCTACTCCAATGAAGTATCAGGTGCAACCTATTTTGTTCTCTCAAAAAGTCATTGTAAGGTTTTGTCTCCATTTTATAGTTGAGACAACAGATCTAGTGAGGGTTGTAACCTGAAGTCACACCAGGGTTAACAGGCCTTTGTGTTTCCCACAACATGATAATGCTGCTGTTCTTATACAACCTGAAGATTTATTAATGCATTGTGATTTCTGAGCAATTAGCTAGCATTTTAGTGTTAGTTGCACTTTGGAAACTATTTTTTTTTCTACGCATACTTTATTCTGGCATCTAGATTAACTTTCCCAGCAGGTGTCAAAAAGTAGGTTAACACAATTCTCTTGTACTATGTGGGTGACTAAAAGTGATTTAGAAATGCTGCTTACAATTTAATTGGGTTCTGGCCAACTGAGCAGTAATACAGTGTTAAGTTTGTTCTCTGAGCGGACTTTTAAAAGATAATGAGGAGGGGAGGAGAAAGGCATTTAATTTATTGAGTGCATGGATACCAGATACTGTATCCTCCCATCTGTTTAATTCTGGAACTTCAGTTCTTTCTATTAAGTACCAGTGACCTTCTTACAAAATAAGTCACTTTAGTTTACTTACTTACCCTACTGGCTTAGTTAGCTTAGATGTTTGTAGGACAGTGTTAGAAAGGGTTGGAGTGAAGATTGCAAAACTGATGATCAAGACATTTCTCAAGGGGGATAATTGTTTTCTAAATCAAACCCACTATATTGTAAGTTTGCCATTAGTTTCAGTGTCGAAGACAACAAAGGAAAGGTGTGGATGATTTAATACAAATGTATCGTGACTGCTAGAAGATGAACTCAAATGTGCTCATTGTAAATTCTTCCTTAAAAGAAGATTTACAATTATAGTAAATGGAGGACCCATTTGGTATCAGATGTTATTACTGAAAACATTCTAGTGATTTGAAAAAAAAACTAAGGATGAGTGCTGTTCATGAAGCAGTAATTATACATTAATATTTCATGGTTCAGTTTGGAGTATGGAACCATGTCTGAGAAGGTATAAACCAAGAATATGTGTTCTTTTCTTTATTGTGATTGAACACTAGTGGAACTTAGTATTTTCATAGATTTTAAAACTTGAGTATATATATATATATACATATATATATATATACACACATACACACACACACACACACACACACACACACACACACATATATATATATATATATATATATATATATATAGTTTTTACCTTGCCTAAATAGAAATAGAAATTGTGACATAAAACAATTGTGTCCAGAGTTGCTTAAAAAAAGCTGTTCATTTGTGAACATATTGTACAACATGATTGTAGAAAACTAATACTGAGCATTCAAAAGAGTACCTCAAGCTACAAGTGTGAAATAATGCACAAAACTTAGATTTTGAGCCAGATAGCTACATGTATGAATGTGGACTCACTTATTTTCTAGCTTCCTGATCTCTGTAAATGCCAACTTCTTCATGTGTTAGTTGGTGGCTGTATTAGTTATCAATTACATAACAAATTGCCACAGAGTAAATAATTTAGCACACATTCGCTATGCCAGTTTCTGTGAATCCAGCTATGACTAACTATGTCCTTCTGAGGACATTTTAATCGAACTGTTGGCAAAGACTGAGTTCTCTCCAGGAACCCTCACTGCAGAAAAATGAACTTCTAAGCTCATGTATTCTAGAGCAGGATTCTATAACTTACTATTGGATGGAGCCCCAGTTTCTTGTCAGTACTATGTGGAGATTCCTCTGGTTTCTAAGTATTAAGTTGCTTCATCTAAGCCAATAAAACAAAGCCTAGTACAAAGTTGTAAGCCTGGATCTTTGCAATCAAATCATGGGAATGGCATCCTCTCAACACTGAGATATTTTCTTGACTAGAATTAAAACATTCAGGGATGGGGATGACAGAAGAGTGTACATGTTAAGAGGCAGGTCAATGAATCTGCCAGACTCTGCCTAACCACAGGGATGCTATTATTTTGTGAGTGAAGATTAAAGGAAGTAAGCTGTACTTTAAACATTTTATTTTTAGTTTGACCTTAAACTACTTTTCTATATAATTCTAATTATGCTTCTGCACAGGAACCAAATTTACTCTTTCTATTATTACTGACAGTGGTGCGTATTCCCACCATCTCCACCCCTTGCAATCTAGATGTTTTGGAGTGAATTTCTTGTATTCGTAATATTTATATCCAAAGTTTGACGTGAAATTCCACTCATTTTCAAGATCCCGAGATGCTGTTTTGCACTAGCTTTCCTCAATCAATCTTCAGTGATTTAGAGGTTATTCCCTTCATCGGATTACCTATAACACACTTTTAACTTCACTTGGGCATTTACTCATCTGCTTTGAATTTTTCTGTTATTTAGATTATGAGTTCCTCATCATGGTCAAGGATTGTGTTTTAATCTTTTCTATATTCTATTATTGGTGTAATGTCATTTTTAAACATGGTGAGAAAATATTGGTTGACCAATGAACTAGCTTTCCAAAGGTCATCAGTTTGGCCACTTGTAGAGGTGAATGTGAGGCATTCATGCCTAACTGATTATATTTTATTCACTTTTATTTACTCATTTATTTTTAAACCATGAAATATGGCAAATGTTTATTATGTGACTATTATGTATGTTAGGAATTTGAGATAAAATTTTTTCTAATATCCTCTACATATTTCTTTATCTAATTTTATTAATATATCTTACAGAAGTGTTTTAACTTTTATTCCAAAGTCTAATATAATATTATAAAAATCAGATAGTGAGCACATTTGTGCACACAACAGGAACTGTTAAGCTACATAAAGATGGTTCACCTCTATCCCAAAATGTATTCCTTCGGGGTTCTAAAATTACATTTGAACTTCTTGTCCTTTTTAATCACTGTTTTGCTGTTAATGAGCTAGTTTTTAATCCTCTAGTTCTTTTTTTCTTCTGATGTGTTGTATGTTGGGGAACCAGGTGGCCACATATATAAATACTTTGAGTCCATGTATTCTGAATGAGGTTGTTAGCCAGAAGTAAGGCATATGTGACAGGAGCTGAGAACTGTTGTGATATTTGGAATAAAGTTGTAAAGATTTCTTTTCAAGTACATTATACAGAGTTGAAATCACTGTATTTGAATTGCCTAATAAGTCATGTAAGACTTCCAGATTTTCTGTTCTAACACAAGTTAGTTCAACTTTTTAGAAGTTTAGGTTGTGATGCTATCTTAAGTGTTCCTAGACAGTTGATAAATGTGTATTTATCCATCTGCTTTGTCAGAACAAAACACAGGTACCCCCAAAAGCAGCATGGCTGTCTTGGATATGAATGGGCTTAAAACGTTTTGTTAAGGAATGCTATTTGTTAGTACATATGATGGATTTAGATTATTCAGTCTCTCTGTTTTTATCTTACTAAAAGGAGGTTGGCACACCATGCCTATCCATTTTATCTTCAGGGTTTCATTATTTTAGAAAGAATTATTAGTCTCCTCTTCAGATTTCTTCCCATGACCTTCCCCTTGTCCTCCCTCACCTTCCTCTTCTTCTTTTTTTTTTTTTCTTGATTCCTAAAATATGGTCCATGCTCAACAAGTATTCTATAATCTCTACCTCCAAGGTTCGTTTTTATTATTGTTATTTAGTAGTTGTGGAATTATCCTACTAGCCATTTCAGTTTCTTATTATGTTTAACTATATTAAGTTCTTTTGAATTTATGTCCTTTGGCAAGTATTCATTCATCTGTAGCAAATATGTCATTCATGGAATTTTTCAGTTAACTTACATTTTTCCCTCTAGGTTAAAAAATGGCCACACTTAAGTGACCCATCACTCTGAGCTTTGATTATGAAAAATTTTATCATCATTGTTTTCTTCATTTTTGGATGGAGAAAATGAATCCAGACATAGAAGAAAGTACAAGATATTGGGGAGAAGTACCTGTTCAACAGAGGAGCATCTAACAACTCATTTGCAAGAAGATTTAATAAATTAAAATTGTTATGCTTCGATATTGGTATGATATTGACTCTCTAGCTCATAGGTAGCCCTCCAAAAAAACAATTCAGTTTTCCAAATTATGGAAATTTCGTGGAAAACGTTGACTTGGATTTTGAGCCTCATCATGGCTTCTTCGGAATTTTATAGTGACCACAGACTTTCATACAGTTCTCAAGGTAGGATATCTGATTTTGAAATTTGACATAAATTATCACAAAATAAAAACTCTGAATATATGGTTTGGTAAATAGTGTCTGGGGGACTTTTAGTTGTATGGATTAGAAAGAAAGGTGCAGAGGATGTTTAGCTTGTCCCTTGGAGATGTCTCTTCAGTGGATTTTAGAGTTGACTGGTTTTAGAGAGTGATACACTCTAAGCTGCTGCTTTTCCATAATCTAAATTTTAATAGACTCATGCCTTGCTAGAGTTTTGAGCCATGATCATTTTCCAACAGAATCCAAATGTTTATTTTGTAGAAGATGAAGAAACCAGATAAATTTTGATACAGACTCTTTAAAACATGAACCCTTCATTTAAAACACAAAAATAACAAAATACTTTCCAAACATAAGGATTCTCATGCTTACAATTTTAACTCAGAAAATCAAACTTTATATCATATAATTGTCCTCAATAAAGAAAGCCCCAGGAGGAAATGGTATATCATAGTCCATGCACTGATCCACCTCTCATTGAATTATCATAGCCATATCTTTTGGATTTTCCTCCCATGAATACCCAGTAACAAATATATATATATATGTATGTATGTATGTATGTATGTATGTATATATACACATATATGTATATATATACATTTTTTTTGTTTTTGGTAGTGATGAAGGTGTTACAAACTGCTATGTATTTGGAAGTCTGTGTGTGAAGATCATTCATATCCTACAGCACCTATCAGTGCTGCTTTCTTTTTATTGGAGAATAGTATTCTCTAGCTTAGCACAGCCTGCTTCTTCATCAGTTGATGGGGAGTTGCATTATTTCTTTCCTTGTGCTGGGAGGAACAGTCCTTCTGATAAGAGCATTCACACATAGATTTTTACCCAGAAATGTGTTTTTATTTCTTTTTTGTATGTAGAATTTTTGCTAATGATCTGGTAATTCATGCTTAACATTGTGACAAGCTGTCAGATTGGCCTCTAAAGTGCCCATGGTCTTTTACGTTCATAGTGAGGATTTGTTTATTGAAGATAGTTTCTTTGGAGCCATAGAGATCCTCCATGAATGGTCTTGGTTAGCTTACAAAAGTTAACTTTATCTGAGCTAAACACTTTTAAAAATGTGAATGTACTTTTGTCTCATTTTCATGTAAGATTTTCATACTTCTAGAAGAACTTTTAAGACCTATATATTAAAAATTAAATTTAGGAAAGAAGACTAGTCCTTCACATATATTTTTTAAAAATAATACTGCTTTGAGGAATAAACAATTAAAACTTAATCTTTTGATTTTCTGTCTTCACTCTTTTATTTTGTTCAATATAACATTTTCATCCACACCTCACATATAATGGTGTATAGTTTTAATTGACATCATTGTTTATATTGCTACTTCTTTGTGCTGTTAAATTTTCTTTTCTTCCATGTGCTTTTCTGGATTCTCTGCCTTGTGATTACAAAGAGGAATTCCTGACTTATCTTGAACACTACCAGCTAACTATTCCAATAAGAGTTGATCAAAATGGAGCTTTCCTCAGCTTTACTGTGAAGGATGATAAACACTCAAGGAGAAGAAGAAGCATGGACCTTATTGAACCACAGCAGGCAGTGTCTAAATTATTTTTTAAACTTTCAGCCTATGGCAAGCACTTTCACCTAAACTTGACTCTCAATACAAATTTTGTGTCTAAACATTTTACAGTAGAATACTGGGGGAAAGATGGACCCCAGTGGAAACATGATTTTTTAGACAACTGTCACTACACAGGATACTTGCAAGATCAACGCAGTACAACTAAAGTAGCTTTAAGCAACTGTGTTGGATTGGTAAGTAGATATAATTTTACAATTCTGAAGGGAAGATAAATTCACAATATAAATGTCTTTCCTTGGGCTAAAATATATGTGTTAAGTGTTTTAAGTAGAAAGGTCCTTATTTCTGCTGCTTTTGCTTTTCACCTTAATTTGTCATAATGCTTGTAAAGATTGTCACAGGACAGCTTTATAAACTCATTTAGAAGTAGAGACAGAGTGGCTTCTTAGGCATCCTTTTATATTCAAAATTTCCTGTTAAAATAGCAAAGCTTCATCATTCACGAACACGTTCAAGGTATATTTGTATTTAGGAAACCACAACACTAACCACCCTTTAGGCTTTTCCACATTTGTCTCTGTTAGGTAATGCAACTTTAAAGAAAGTTGTGATCTACTTATGGTTCTTAGAGCAAAATTTTATACAAGTGTCTATGTCACATTTCCCTACTATTTATATGCAGACTATTACTAAGCTATTATTTTGAAAGTGGTTTCAAGAGTGCAGGGTACTCCTAAATGCTGTGTATCTGAGTCTATTATAGTAAAATGGCAGCTGCACAGAGTAATGATATCAGATAAAATCATGCTCCCCCACTTCCTCTTATTCTTCAGGCAAATATAGATTTTCCATGAAAACTTTATGTGTAAGGAATACAAAAAATTGTATGTGCTAGTTCTCTTGTAGAATTTAAATGAGTTTTAAATTAGAAAAAAAACTATGTAATTGGGAAATTTCACTATTTTTGCTCTGATTTCCATTTCTCTCTCTTTTTTTAACAACTGCTAAGTAAAATGGGCTAATACAATTACTAAGATTTTAATACTCAGGTTTAATTTCCATAAAAACATGTGTTTTATTGCAAACTTCCTTATAAATAATGTTAGGACTTTATGTGGAAAATATTTAATTTTAGGTGTTTTTTGTTTGTTTGTTTGTTTTTGCAACATAATGGGTTCTGTAATGGAATCATCATACAATATTGTCACTACAATTTATTCTAATTCATTCCCCTCCTTGAACCTTCCTTAGTGCTTCCTCCCCACCCAGCTGATGCCATCCCCCACCCTCCAGTTTTCTCCTTTCTGGTTTCCTATTATATTCATTATTCTGCTGCCCAGTAGTAGTCTTTCCTTCTCTTCTCAGGGTCCCATTTGTAGTTTTCTGACCTATAAACACACATAAACAAATAAACACATATATGCACACAGACACACACACTCATATACATAATTTTAAACTTAGGTTCTGCATGAAAATATGGCATTTCTGACATGGCTTATTTAATTTAATGTATGTTTTCTAGTAGTATCCACTTCCTTGAAAATGTCAGAATTTCATTTTTCTTCATGACTAAAGAAAATTCCATCATACATATTTACCACAATTTCTTTTTCTTTAACCTTTCATCACTTGATCGACATCTAGGCTGGCTTTATCTTTTGGTTGTTTTGAACAGTGAAGCTATAAATAGGGATTTGAAAGTATCTTTGTGGTATGTTGATTTAATATATCCATATAATATAGCTGGGTCATATTGGTAGGTTTTTGAGGGCCCATCATACTGATTTTGTTAGTGGGAATACACAAGTTTACATTCCTGCCAGCAATGTATAGGTTCCTGTTTGTTCATGTCCTGTCAGCATTACTTTTCAGAGTGATAGTTATTGTAACTGGGACAGAGGAATCTTAAAGATGTTCTCATTGCATTTCCAATGGCTAAGGTTGTTAAACTTTTTTTCAAATGTTTATTGGTCATTTGCGTTTCTTCTTTTGAGAACTGTCTATTCAGTTCATTATGCCACTTGTTGATTAGATGATTTATGGGCTAAATACTAACTGCCTGTGTGATGTATAGTTGGTAAATAATTATTCATTAACATTCTGTACATTGTCTTTTGATTCTGGTGATTGTTTACTTTATTGTACATTCTTAATTTCATTTGTCAGTTCTGGGGATTATTTCTTGTGTCCTTGGGATTCTATTCAGAAAATCATTGCTTCTACTTATTTCATAAAGTATTTTTCTTATGATTTTCTCCAACAATTTCAGTTTCAAGTCTTGTGTTAATTAAGGTGTTTGATTCATTTTAGATGGGTGTTTGGGTAAACTGAATGATATGGGTTTAGTTTCATTCTCAAATGGAAATTCCATTTTCCTGACAGTTTGTTAAAAAGACTATCCTTTCCTTAATCCATTTGTGCTTGTTTTTTTGTTTTGTTTTGTTTTTTGTTTGTTTGTTTGTCAGCTTGAGACAAGCTAAAGTCATTTCAGAAGAGGAACTCTGAATTGAGAAAATGATTTCATTAGATATGCCTGTAAACACGATTGTATTATTTTTGGTGATGATTGATGCAGAAGGGTCCAGACAGTCACTGTGGGTAGTTCACCCCCTTCACCTCCTGACTGGTTGCCTTGGGTTATATAAAAAAAAGCGAGCTGAGCAAGCAGTAAGCAGTGTTCCTCCATGGTCTCAGGTTCAGTTCCTGCCTCTGGGTTCCTGCCTTGAGTTTCTATGCTGGCTTCCATGAATGATGACCAATAATTTGTAAGCTGAAGTAAATCCTTTCTGCCCTAAGTTGATTTTGGTCATGCTATTTTACCACAGCAATAGGAATAGCTGTGGCTGTGAGAGTTGATTTTTGTGTCCTCTGTTCAATTTCACTTATATATGGTCCTATTTTGTGCCAGTACTGTGATTTTTGTTGTTGCTACTTACTATGGCTCTTTAATATAATTTGAGATTGGGTGTTGTGACACCTCCAGCATTACTCTTTCTATTGAGCTATAGGTTGCCTTTTGTCCTTCTATATACATTTTATGATTGCTTTTTATTCTTCTTCTGTTAACAATGCCATTGGAATTTTGATGTGGATTGTATTGAATAGATTGCTTTTGGTGAAATAGCATAGACATTTTCCACAATATTTTTCCAATCCATGAACAAATGAAGTTTGTCTATTTTCAGGTGTCTTTAATTTTTGTATTTACTATTTTAAAGTTTTCATTGTAGAAGTTTTTCAGTTCCTTGGTTAGGTTTTCTAAGACACATTATTTTAGTTTGGGAGGCAGATGTGTGGAACAGTTTTTAATTTTTCTTGGTCATGTCTACTTGAGGGTCTGTGCTATGTTTGATTCTTTCTCTGTAGTTTTGTGAAATTTTCTGTTATATTTTCATTGAAGAAAGTCTATATCTAATCTCTTTTGTCCTCTTGATCACATCCTAGAGTTCTTTTATTTATTCTTCTCTCAAACATTAAATCCCACCTGTAGTTTCCCTTTCCTTCACTCATCCCAAGGCCCACCTCCTCTCACTCTCCCCAGATTAATTCCTTCTCTGTCTCCCTTCAGAAAAGGGAGGCTTCCAGGGATATCAATCAAACATAGCATAAAGTTACAACAAGACTAGACACAAACCCTCATATCAAGATTGAATGAGGCAAGGAGGAAAAGGGTCCCAAGAGCAGGCGAAAGAGTCAGAGAAACCCCTTGCTCCCACTGCTACGAGTCCCACAAAAGCACACAGCTGCACTGTTTTATTTCCCGCACAGTAGCTACAACTGAATCTACTTCTCTTTCAGCCAATAATTGCGGCTCTGCAGTTGATGGCCTGCTTCTTTAGTAGCCATGCAGTGAGACTTTTATGATCTGCCTCCTGCCCTTGCATCAATGTAGTTTTAACTAAATCTCTACCATTCTACTTTCAATAAGACTTGGGAGTCAGAGGCTGGGGCTAAAATCTGCTAGCTGAGAGAGGTTGAGGAGTAACGAGCAGAACTTCTGTCTTTACCGCGGCTCAGAAAGAGTGCTGTTCTGCTCCACCAAATCAAAAATAAAATAAAATAAAAAATGTTACACTCTAAGTCCCTCCTACTACTTCCTGTGCATCTGTCTATATTCCAGAAGCCCTCTGACTATGATTATTTTCTGTCAACTAATTGCTAGCTCTGCCTCCTTACCCAATGTTGATTTTATTAAATTAGTGCAAATGCAAACTTGGGGTTCACAGTGTTATCATATATCCATGTGTAAATGCCCTTTTAAAATACAGTCTTCTAGTCTTGGTTTTGGATTGGAGAATTGATAGTTATTGACATTGAGAGTCATTACTGAGAAGTGTGTGTTAATTCCTGTCATTTGTTAGTTTTATTGTGTTTGGTGCTTTTCTATCCCTCAGTTACTGTCCTAGTGTGGCTCACTCTCTCATATAGCTTTATGGGTATGTTTATATTTTTTGTCAGTTGCAAGGATTCTTTCAAGTATCTTCTGCAGATCTGTTTTAGTGGTCATCAATTCCTTTAGCCTGCCTTTTTCATGGAATGGTTTTCTTTCTCTTTTCTTTGTGACAGATAGTTTTATGGATGTAGTATTCTAGAATGGCAGTTGTCTTTTAGAGCTTGTAATAATCATTGAATCATCATGGATTTTAAAGTTTTTGTGGATGGTCATACCCTTTTATAAGTGACTTGGTGTTTTTCTCCTGCAGCTTTCCATGTACTTTCTTTTCTCTGTGTTTTTTAGTATTTTAACTATACTAGATTATGGGGATGTTCCTCTATGGAAATACTTCTTATACTTCAATTAGCATCTCCTTCCTTGGATTTAGCGGATTTTCTTGAAAGTATTTTTCTATGCCTTTAGCATGAAATTCTTCTTTTATGCCCACAGATTATCTAGGAGCGGGTGTCAGATTCCCTGGAAATGTAGTTGAGGGCAGTTGTAAGCCACAATGTGGATTTTGGGAATTGAACCTGGATCCTCTGGAAGAGCAGCCAGTGTCTTAACCATGGAGTTAACTCCCCAGCTCTCCTTCTTTCATGGTGGGCAGACTTACAAAGTCAGATTACTGATGCTAGTTCTGTCCAAACAAGTCACTTACAGATCTAGTCACAGATACTGCTCATATTTCTGAGTAGTTCATAATTTGGACTGTGAAAGCTGTTCTCACCTCTGGGCCATCCTTTGTGGGAATGGGTGACATGTTGGTTGCCAGTAAGCAGTCCTTCACACATT